CCGACGGCGACAGGTCTGGTTAAAACATGTCACTTGGAAAAACACTTTCTTTATTATTATTTATACGACTGCAACTATAGCTGATACAAGAGCAATGGCTATAGCTGATACAAGAGCAATGTTAAAGGATTCTTTCTGTGTTCCTGGTTCAAAAGTGTTGCTTCCACATTTGTTTAATCCTTTAACATTGACTTTTTATGAGACAAAGTGAATCCAGATTTGAGTTGGACATTTTATTACGACACTAAACATGTAAACAGAGAATAAAGGTCAAACAAAGCAGCCACGGCCTTTTCCCTGATATTGTGACTGAAATGTGTGATGTCTGCGATGGTTGTGGTAAATAATAATATATAATAATCTTATGTGTGTGGTCTAATCCCGGTTGTGAGATCTAATTTACAATCTCATGAAACTAAAAACACCTGTAGTCCATCTCAGCAGGGTTAGGGAAACATGTGCATGGATAGTACTGATGCAGCAGCAGTATCTTCACATTACTCCTGAAATTTATATTGTTTCATTTTTGTTTTCTTAACATTAAAGATGCTGTTATTTTCCAGTCTCTCCCTCGACTCTTCCAACAAACCCCGCCCTCAGAAAATAGTTCCGACGTCCATGTTGCCAACGCCCTGATCCAGAAATGGATAAATAAAGGGATGAACAGTAAAAATAAATTTAATCTACAAAAGTCCTGACATTGTTTTTGAAAATGACCAGATTTGCAGCAGCGGTAAAATCCAGTACAGACTCTGTGACGCTGTGAGAGGACGGACCCAACAGGAACTAAAAGATTCTGTGGCTGCTCTGCGACTGTGAGCTCTCTCTGCAGACGCTCTACGTACTCAGCAAACCCAGCCGTGTGTGAAACTGGAAATATTGAAACCTTCTCTGCCGATAATTATTTATAAATGGAGCAGAAAAGAAGCAATGTTTTTGTGCTTTAATGGACACGGGCTGAGGCAGGTGCCGCACACTCAGACTGTGCAGTGACTTTAATCCATCTGAGCTGAAGTCATGAGCCGCAGATTTGCCACTTTTCCAACGAGCTCAAAAGAGACAACCCATAGTTTTGGATAAATGTCGGCCTCAAACGCTGCACTGAGAGCGTGTCGTGAAGTTCTGTCTGCAGTGACATCGAACCACCAATATGAGCTGAGGACTCAGGAGTCAGAGGCACGGAGGCTGAGTCCATTCTCCTTTCTCAGTTTGGCCTTTCTGAGTGGAGTTTGCATGTTCTCCCTGTGTCTACTTAGGTTTCCTCTGGGTGCTTTTGTTTTCCCTACCACTTAAAACATGCACAATAGGTCTGAATGTACTGAGAGAGTGAATGGATGGTGTTTGGTCGGAGGCTTTGATGGACCAGTGTGTTTTTGTTGTTGTTTTTTAAAATGTATTTATTAGATATGGACACAACAGTTACATTGGACAGACTGCCTTCAGCAAAACCATGTTAATTTTCAGCACTTATAGAAGGCTTTTAGGACACGAATGCACACAAATGCTTCCGTCATCACCGGGTCGGGAGTATATCTGGTTTCTGAACATTGTAAACTGCTTTGGGCGACCTTGGTCTGTAAAATGTACTATATAAATAAATATTACTCACTTACTCACTATACAAGGACCAACATGTCGTGTGCAAGACCAGATGAAATCCACTTTTACATGTGTATATTTAGCCCTCACTTAGTATTTGATATCTCCTCTGATCACACTAAAGCAAAGCAAAAGGGAACAACTTGGCCTTTACCCAGACTAGGATTGGTCCAGATGGATCAGATTCTATGGATATATAGAAAGAAAAACATGTATTATTCTGTTAATAAGCAGATTAATCACCAAAAAAGATGTATATGTAAAGTCCAGATCCAGGGTCTCAAACTGGGGCCAGAAAGAACAAGTGCAGCTGCAAGTGTTAATCTGAACCAAACACACCAGATTTCAGCCACTTCCAAAGTCTCCAGGTTCAGACTGGACTCTGAGGGAGTGGGCGGAGCCTGGAGGAGCACGCTGCAAAAAAATATAAAATATGAAGTTAAAATAGTTTGAACTGAGTGGTTTTTCTGGACACATTCTGACTGTGTTAAAACAGGATTGTTCTTATTCCAAGACATTTCTGTGCATTGTTAAAACCAGATCATTTTGCTTTGTCCCGTTGGAGAATCTGGTTTTAAACTCAGTCAGAATATGTCAAATTAAGGCACATTTTTCAAAATTTTTGAGGTTTTTTTTCTCACAAAAACTCCCAAAAAGCCAGATGTTTAGACTCTAATATAAAGCTAAAGAGTTTATATTCTTCAGCCGTAAAGTCACCAAAACACTTAGATATAGACAAACTTTACATTCTTGGACCTCATCCCTCCTGGAGTCAGTCGACCAGTCTGTACACGGGGCAGATACAGCCGCAGTGGGGCAGATACAGCTGCAGTGGGGCAGATACAGCCGCAGTGGGGCAGATAGTGGCCAAACCAAAATGACGTGCGCTGACATGCTGCAATACCACCCCGGGCCTGTGGGGGTGGACCCGGAATAAGAATTAGCCAATGCTAACATATAGCATCTTCTTACCTCTGGGAAACGTCTTTACAGGATGGTCCAAAAGTTGTCTCTTGGCCCAAAGCTCCGTTCCACATGTGTGTCAATGCTGAGTGTTCTGGACCAGTCTAGTTTAGTCGCTGTAGACTTTAGAAGTCACTCAATCAAATGAACGGAGCTCGCGCAGCTGACGCATGCGCAGATGCGTTTTCTCACATTTTTCTTGTGGGCGGGACCACTCGCGGCCATTTTGGATAGCTCCAGTAGAGCACAATTTTTGGCCCATTTGTTTGAACGGCGCAGATAGGCGTGACTCTGTCCGTTGATATATACAGTCTATGGGCCAAACACAAACATACACGGTGCCAGACTTTGGTATTCATAATTTCCCATGTCATCTGCTAAGTAGCTCCAACATACCCCGAGGTGGCAGACCCCGACCAGTCACGAATGCACTGCTGTAAACCAATAAACTCTGTAAATACTGTAAAAATCCATTCATGCTCATATAGCTATTGATTCACGAGACTTGTTCTAAAACGCTCAGACAAACTGATTTAAGTGAAAGTAATCAATAACACACTCAGTTTTATCTGTTTATGTACATGAAGGTCAGTCGATCAATGGAGGATTAAGCAACAAAGCTGAGGTGATGCTCTGTCGGATCAATGCCAGAGCTGCCACCGGTTTGACCTTTTCTGCTCAACTTCAAACCTTCTTCTCTCAAACGGCCTGAAAATAATTCTGTCAGAGTCATCTATCTCTGTGCGTCTCTATAGAGTAGATTTACAGCAGAGCGCAGAGAGGCTTATTCAGCACCACGGACAGCTCCCACCAGCCCCTTCTTCTCTTCACTTCTCTTTCTTAAAGTGCATTTCAGGAAATATCTCAGTTCTCTGCGTTTTATTCTAAATTTGGGGTTTGCGGTATCTGTAATTACTGAACATGCTGAGTCATTGCTTTATGTCTGTGTTTCTCAAGCTGTGGTACTTCTAACACTTCTTTGTGAGTGTCCGCTGAGGTTCAATTATATGCTGAATACAGATAAGTTTTAAAACTGTATTCAGAATTCTTTGGGGATGAGATAAAACCATAACCACCGTAAAATATCAGAGTCTTATTAAAGATAAATGCAGGTCAAGCTTAAGGCACTTTTCTGTCCCTGAAGGAAAATTAGTCCTGGGCATTTGACCCTTCCACCGGGGCCACTGTCAGGAGCAGTAACTGAGGCTTGGCTTCTCCAGAGCTGAACCGGAGCGACGGAGGAAACCCACCCAGACACAAGAAGAAACCTGCAAACCCCCCACAGAGACGCCCAGTCCGGCAGAGGGTCTTCCTGCTGTGACAAGCAGGTGATAACCACATAGGGGCGGGTGGCTGAGTGGTTAGCACTCTTGCCTCTCTGCAAGAAGGTCCTGGGTTCTAATCTCGGTCAGACCAGGGCTTTTCTGAGTGGAGTTTGCATGTTCTCCCCGTGTTTGCGTAGGTTTCCTCCAGGTGCTCCAGTTTCCCCTACTACTAAAAACATGTCCAAAAGGTCTGTGCCTCCTGTACTGGCCCCGCTCCCATCTCTGTGTGGAGTGAGAGACAAATGCCCAAAATTAACAATTGGAAAACCGCTTTGAGACTCTGGTCTGTGAAAGGTGGTACATAAATAAAGATTACTTACTTACTCACATAGAGGTACTCATCAATGGAACATGACACACTGCAAAATAAATGATAAAATATTAGATTTTTATTTTATTTATTTTATTTTATTTATTTTATTTATTTTATTTATTTTATTTATTTTATTTATTTTATTTATTTTATTTATTTTATTTATTTTATTTATTTTAAAGAAAACTAGATTCTCCACATGGACAAAGACATTTAGTCTTATTTGCTGTATTTCCTCATTCCAAGAGAGACATTTCTGTATCTTTTAAAAACAAGATTATTTTGCTTCGTCCCGTTGGAGAATCTGGTTAAAGGCTCAGTCAGACTGTGCTCAGATTAAGACACATTTTATACATTTTTGATTGAAATGTTTGACTCACATGTATTTCTCTTCCCTGTCTGTGGTGCATGAGTAGCACAGGTACATTACATCCTCTTTGGATCATGGTTCTATCTTCCACACACAGTTTTTGGCTCCAATTCTGTGTTTTTATAGTGATTCAGATCAACTTCAGGGAAACAGAGCCATAAAAAGCCTCCATTAGCTGCTTATGTTGACAGATCTAACAGATTCACAACGGTAAATGAATCTGAATCTCTTCACAGCAGAAGCTTGTTCTGCAGATACTGATTCTCTGAAAGTTTCCACCCTTGTGTTCATAAGTGCTGCTCTCCACAGCTGATAACGCACTCTGCTTCTTAAGGGTCGCTTTGACTCCAGATAAACATTCAACTTTCCAGAGTGCTCAGTCAAATGCAAATGAGAGCGTGTAGTTGGTGTTTGGGGCTCGCTGCTGTCGATGGCCGCCGCAGCAGACGAAGGTGAGCGGAGGCCGTGGGCAGGACGTAAGGCCCAGGTGTAATGGCTGCACCACAGATAAGCAAGTGTTTGTTTTTGCTGCTCCGCTGCGGTGAGCTCCAAATTGACTGGTGCTATCGGAGCCCGAGGCGATTATCTGAGGTGCCAGAGGGGCCCTGCCGTGAAGACTAATTAGTTTCATTAACCTGCGCTCCAGATTAAACACTGCAGCCTGGTGTAATTGAAATAGTGGATTTGGACATGGCAGCCCCGGGTTCTCGTCTTTACTGTATGTTCTCTGTCCTTTGTCGGGAACATTCACTTTCTCCACAGGTTCAAGTTTAATGATTTAAACTTGAAATTTATTATTATGTGTGTTCATGGACAGTTATCGGACCACTGTAAAAGAGAAACTGACATTAAAGGACTGGGATGATGCAGAAACAGTAGGAACAGAAGAAGAACATAAATATCAAAGATGGAGACGAAGGCGACTGGAATCAGGAAGAGGAAGGTCCATGAACCGAGACGAGGGGCCTTCACCTTGGCGCACACCTGGGATTCACTTCTCCAGAGACCACAGGGGGCGTGGTCAGTCTGAGACGCGTGGTCAGTCTGAGGGGGTGTGGTCAGTCTGAGGAGGTGTGGTCAGTCTGAGATGTGTGGTCAGTCTGAGGTGGTGTGGTCAGTCTGAGATGTGTGGTCAGTCTGAGATGCGTGGTCAGCCTGAGGGGGTGTGGTCAGTCTGAGGGGGTGTGGTCAGTCTGAGGGGGTGTGGTCAGTCTGAGGTGGTGTGGTCAGTCTGAGGTGGTGTGGTCAGTCTGAGGGGGTGTGGTCAGTCTGAGATGTGTGGTCAGTCTTAGAGGGTGTGGTCAGTCTGAGGTGGTGTGGTCAGTCTGAGATGTGTGGTCAGTCTGAGATGCGTGGTCAGCCTGAGGGGGTGTGGTCAGTCTGAGGGGGTGTGGTCAGTCTGAGGGGGTGTGGTCAGTCTGAGGTGGTGTGGTCAGTCTGAGGTGGTGTGGTCAGTCTGAGGGGGTGTGGTCAGTCTGAGATGTGTGGTCAGTCTTAGAGGGTGTGGTCAGTCTGAGATGTGTGGTCAGTCTGAGATGCGTGGTCAGCCTGAGGGGGTGTGGTCAGTCTGAGGGGGTGTGGTCAGTCTGAGATGCGTGGTCAGTCTGAGATGTGTGGTCAGTCTTAGAGGGTGTGGTCAGTCTGAGGTGGTGTGGTCAGTCTGAGATGTGTGGTCAGTCTGAGATGTGTGGTCAGTCTGAGATGTGTGGTCAGTCTGAGATGTGTGGTCAGTCTGAGATGCGTGGTCAGTCTGAGGGGGTGTGGTCAGTCTGAGGTGGTGTGGTCAGTCTGAGGGGGTGTGGTCAGTCTGAGCTGCGTGGTCAGTCTTAGAGGGTGTGGTCAGTCTGAGGGGGTGTGGTCAGTCTGAGGGGGCAGGACCAGCCTGAGGGCGTGTGGTCAGTCTGAGAGGGTGTAGTCAGTCTGAGGGGGGCGTGGTCAGTCTGAGATGCGTGGTCAGTCTGAGGGGGCAGGACCAGCCTGAGGGGGTGTGGTCAGTCTGAGAGGGTGTGGTCAGTCTGAGGGGGGCGTGGTCAGTCTGAGGGGGTGTGGTCAGTCTTATCTGGCAACAACAACAGCTGGCAACAACAACAGCTGATCATCACTGTCTCGGTCGAAGGCGGAGTCTAAACCTGTGATAATTCATCAGAAATAGCTTCTTTACTTTTTCGTCGTATTAAAATCACCTTCTAAGCCTGTACCGTGTGGATATCTTTACAATCATTTGATATTCTGACTCTTGACTTTTTGTTGCTGACTTAAGATTGTGCGCCGCTTGACAGAGTTGTAAATAATCTGTCAAAGACCTTTCAAGCTAAATAACCCAATTGTTCCATTTTGTTTTCTGAAAGTTCCGTCGTCTTTTCTCTGAGTTGGGTTTTCCCGTCGCGCTGCTCATTTTTATTCCGTTGTCAGCAGTGTTTTCTCACATCCCCGACACCTCCAGCGCCACCAGAGGAATGCACCGTCTGAATAAGTGCTGAAGTGTTCTTGAAATATTTCTGTTTGTTTTGTCAAAGCTCAGACATCATTCCTCAGCGTTTCCAGCAGCGGCACCGAAACTCGGAAAAACCTGCACCTCTCCAGAAGATCGCTCTGCAGTAAACACACATGTTTTGGACACACAGGAACGCAGAAGGAAATGTATGTTTGAGTGGGAGGAAGGGTGGCTGAGTGGTTAGCATTCTCAGCAAAAGTCAAACAGGACCTTTCTGAGTGGAGTTTGCATGTTCTCCCTGTTAAGATTCTCTTAAGATTTACCAAGACTCCTTTGACGAAGAGATTCTGAAATCCAAGGCTGTGTTCAGACGGTGATGCATGGACGTGTGTTCTCTAAACATCAGCTGCATGAGTTTATTCTGACGTCCTGCTTTGGGGAAAAACACAGGAAGTGGTGGGCGGAGCTTGGACGCTAACAAGTTACTTCTGTATCAGTGACACATTAGCATCACAGTTTACAGTCACAGAAGAAACTCAGGAGGAAGACTTATGTTTACATGAACCCAGTGTCAGGTCTGGTTTAGTCCTGGTTTAGTCTTGGTTTAGTCCTGGTTTAGTCCTGGTTTAGTCTTGGTTTCGTCCTGGTTTAGTCCTGGTTTAGTCCTGGTTTAGTCCTGGTTTAGTCCTGGTTTAGTCCTGGTTTAGTCCTGGTTTAGTCCTGGTTTAGTCCTGGTTTAGTCCTGGTTTAGTCCTAGTTTAGTCTTGGTTTAGTCCTGATTTAGTCTTGGTTTCGTCCTGGTTTAGTCCTGGTTTAGTCCTGGTTTAGTCCTGGTTTAGTCCTGGTTTAGTCCTGGTTTAGTCCTAGTTTAATCCTGGTTTAGTCCTGGTTTAGTCCTAGTTTAGTCTTGGTTTAGTCCTGATTTAGTCTTGGTTTCGTCCTGGTTTAGTCCTGGTTTAGTCCTGGTTTAGTCCTGTTTAGTCTGTTTGGACCAACTTGTTTCCCTGTGACCACTTTGCTGCTCTCTGATTGGTTGTCACGTTGTCATCTCCAGCTTTTGCTGCAGCTCGCCGCTGAACCCACCGCTGCTGCGCCGCAACAGAGTCAGGACTAGACCTGGGGAGGCTGCGTTCCAGACCTACTGTATGCACATAGAATCTGGAACAGTCTTCCCAAAGGTGTGAGACAGGCTGCGACCCAAGCGTCCAGGCTGAAAACAGTTCTTTACGGCCTACAACAGATCTTTATGGATATTCATGTATTTATGTGTTTATTTTTACATTGTCTTTGGAGTGTGTTTTTACAGTGTGTGTTTTTACAGTGTGTGTTTTTACAGTGTGTGTTTTTACACTCTGGTCCAGACTCTGGTCCAGACTCTGGTCCAGACTCTGGTCCAGACTCTGGTCAGCAAAGCTGTAGAAAACAGTCTCTGGATACAAGGATCCAGATTCAGATTCATTTATTTGCCATTTGCAGTAAAACCACATTGGAACACATTTGTTCCAGAGAGTTCCCCGGGATGTTAGGGGGTGTCAGACCTGGACCACAGCTGTGCTCTCCTGAGTCAAAGCTCCAAACATTTTAATATCTCTCCTTCCTTGGTGCTATGAAACCCTCTTATGTTGTATTTTTAAAGTGATCATAAATATAATAAAGATAAACACATTTCTTTGCCCCATTCGGAGCAGTTTTTATTATTATTATTATTATTATGTTTAATTAATTATTGACGGCTGCCTCTAAATCTACAAACTCCCACAGATTTAAAGACTTCTATAAAAGCAGCGATGAACTGTGTCTGTTTATTGGGCTTCATGAAGTCAGTCACAAACATTTCTAAATTCAAAATGTAATGGGAAATATATGGAAATTATATTAGAACAAAATACACATTTAGGTCTTAACCCAGAACAGTCCAGTCACAGTTTACTTTGGATCTAATGATAATAACAATGCATCAGCTTCAGTTCTTTTTCAGACGCTCAAAGTCTTTTCACAACATTATTCTCTCTCTCCAAACACAGCAGTGATAAACTACTGTAGCCACAGCTGCCCTGAGGCACACTGACGGAAGCCCCTCCCACCACCACCAACCATTCACACACACACCAGACTCATGTCTCTGTGTCTATGTGTACCTGTGTCTCTGTGGGTCTATGTGTACCTGTGTCTCTGTGGGTCTATGTGTACCTGTGTCTCTGTGGGTCTATGTGTACCTGTGTCTCTGTGTGTCTATATGTACCTGTGTCTCTGTGGGTCTATGTGTACCTGTGTCTCTGTGGGTCTATGTGTACCTGTGTCTCTGTGGGTCTATGTGTACCTGTGTCTCTTTGTGTCTATATGTACCTGTGTCTCTGTGTGTCTATATGTACCTGTGTCTCTCTTTGTCTATATGTACCTGTGCTCCTCTCCCCTGTCTGTTGCTGGTTCCTTGTACCTCAACCATTATTTTGGGTCCTTCCTGCATCTTGCCTCATGAAAACTTCAGTCTGTGCCTGTCCCTGGGGACCCAATGGTCCCGGAGCACAGGTACAGTATGTAGAGAACACATCCTGTATGAAGTCAATAATTCCCTTTGACTGACGTGTTCAAAGTTGATGCAAGAGTAAGACAAGAGATCTCCAAGTTTAACATCTGTATTTAATTTATCTTTACAATCAGATACAGAAATTCCAACAAAGAGTGCTCCTAAAACTATATATGTCCCTCTCTCTGGCCCTCGGCTGATCCCTCTGTTTCTCCCCAAGCCAGAGCATATAAAAAGAACAGGAAGGAGGGGAGTGTCCTATCAGCCAGCTTCCGGTCTAGGGTCCAGCCTTTTCCTCTGCCAGACTCCTGATGGAGTGAGGTTGAAAAGTGCAGAAGTCAGCAGGCCAAGACTAGGGAGGTGAAATACAAACAGGAGAATCCATCTGTTGTCCAGTTGCTGGCACAAGAAGACACCTAAAATAAAATAAGAAGGACTGGCCTCCCACTTAGAGGTTAGCTAGGTCATAAAACACATGGTTTTAGAATGTCACGTATTTATAAATACAACAGTTTCCCTCTTTTGACCTGATTAAAAATTAGGTCACAATCCACATCGTCGTTTATCATCAATACTTGTGCTTAGTTCCGGCTTGATATCTGTGAAGAGTTAATACAGAGAAAACAAACAACACACAACAAACCACATTTTTACCATTCCTTCAATACTATTTTGATGACTACTGCTGTGTCTTCATCAACCTCGTCTGTAATGTATGCACTAAAACTATTCACTATAGTTTAAACTATTCTAATCTATTTACAAATATGTTTGCATATTTTGCTTTTATTGAGCCCTATTCTTAAACATATGTTTTTATCTAATAAATCTATCTATACTGTGGTTTGCTGTCATTATCAGTGGCTCTGTGCCATTTCGTGGGGCTTTGCTCATTTTTCCAAATACATTTTGTTGAACCAGGAAGTGCTGTCACTTCCTTCTCTCAGACCGTTTGGGATAAATGTACATCGTTAATCAAATTGGTATTATCCGTACAGGAGCTAATCTATTTCAGCAGGTTTCTCTGGGGTCAGTCCCTATACAACGGTATTTTGATTCTCTAATCTGTTGCTGACAAATCGACAGCTCTTAAAATTCTCAAAAATACCTAAAGATCTACTTTTGTGCTATACCCAAATACATTAAAATGCTTTCAAATGTTTTTGAATCTGTGTTGGTTCTAATCGATCTCATTAATCTATCTCATTAGCTTTTTGCATTGTCAACATTCACCTATGTTTGAAACAAGTGAATTTGACAAGTATGAACTTTATCTACTTTTGAAGTAAATACTTTTGGACATATTATGAAGGAAATGGTCCTTTTACCGCTTGATATTAGCCCTGTCTAAAAATAATCTCTATTTTTGAAAGCATCTATCTGTTTTATACTCTATTGTGACTCCAAATCTTGGTTGTAGTTTGAGCCAAAGCATATTCCCAATTTGTGAGTTCTGATTGTAACAATTGCATTGGCAATAGACGATTTTTCATTGGCTGGTTCTTGTTCTGCAAATCACTATTTTATGTATTGTATTTCAGACAATTCCAAAAACAACACAGTCGTTCTCCAATATTAAAGACATGAATCTAATCAAGTTGCCTGAAAGGGAGCGGGAAGAAGAGAACTATTTTAAAACCGTTCTCTACGATTATATGGCTATGAAATTAATTATTTAATAAACAAAAGCACATTCCTGGCTTCTGTCCACTGCTTATAACTGTTTAAAGAGTTGTCCCAAACTTAATATGTGTGAATACATCAGCTGTTTGTAATAAACAATAACATTTAACCTGTTCTCCAATGGAGCAGCTCAGAGGCTGCGTCAAAAGCAATGTTATATTTGAGCTATTTTTAGATTTAAAATTGTGTTAAAGCCTGTCGTTCTATGTCTGCATTTTAATACTACTCTCTATAAACACATCTGCACTAGATCCTACAGATGTGGAAAACAGAAACATCTAAAATCTGACTCCATTTGATTCCTTTTTACTTTAGTTATTAGAACAATTTGACCTTATTGATACTTATTTCCACAATAGAACTATTTTGATTATTCACTCCGGTGGACTCACCACCTGCAGGAGGATCAGTGAGGGGCTGGTGCTCTGTGGACTGGGTGCAGCTCTGACTGCCACCCCCCCCCGACCCAGAAATGGATTAAGGGGAAGAAAATGGATGGATGGATGGATGGTTATTCACTAGTCTAACTATTATTACTATTGTTTATTCTGACACCTCTTCTTAGCGACCTTTCAACCTATAGCTCCTTGAATCCAATGACATTATAGCTCCAGACTATTTCATTCTATTCTATTATTATTATTATATGATCTATTATCTTAACGAGTATATCTGATTGATGTTATAAGCGCTATTATTTCTCCTTTTGAATTTGCACAACACTACATTTAGAATGACCCCCTATGGGACAAATATAGAATTTTATTTCATTTTGGCAACTCCGAAAATTACTTAATAATTTTCCCATTTTGCTTTTTTAGGCTGCCCTTTCTATTATTTATTTGTTCTTGTAAATATATGTTTTACACTTCTTTCTAATGATTTAGAAGGTTAAGGACCATGACCACCTATGACAATAACATTATCATACTCCCTCTCTTGGTCGTGGGCCAAGTATAAAACATGCATCTGTGTGTGTGTGTAGATTTACTGTTCCAATCATTCTCCAGTTGTTCCTCCCGGATCGTCCTCAATTCATATTGTGGGCTTTGGTGCCAAAGTAGAGGCTCATTTCCTCTCCTGATCCGTGCTACTGTGTCATCCCTGAAGCAGGGGTAGTTTATCTTTTATCTGAAAAAGAAACATTAGAACACACGAAATGCCCACTTCCCTGGCATGGTGCAGCCTGTCAATCTTTTTCCAATTGGGCAAAACATAACTGCATTGACAGACGGTGTGTGACATCAGGGCAGAGGCTGTAGCCAAATACAGACTTAACAATATGTATGTTTCTAATTTTATACTCCCCTAAATGTGAGTTTACAAACCAAAGTTGTCCTCCGCCCAATGACCGCTCACTGCGGTTGGACCGAATCACTGTCAGGACAAACAGCAGAGGGAGGGGCTCCCAGTACCTTCAGCAAGGTATTCATCTCAGAGTACTTTCCGCAGAGTACTTTTCTCAGAGTACTCATCCCAGAGTACTCTCACTTTTACACCTGTTCAATAAAGCTTGTTATCTTTGAATCTCTAGTACTTACACCGTATGCTGTTGACAAAAAATAATTATTCCATGATCACATTAAAACATTACAGAAAACTTTTGTTATTCCATGATTCCGTTCAGCACTCCTCAGTTCACTCCACACTCACAACACACTCACAACACCCCACGTTAGTATTGGTCCAGTTTGTTAAGGTCAACGTAGTGTATTTGACATGACGCACAAACATATAACATACACAAACATATAACATACACAAACATATAACATACACAAACATGCAAAGCTTTGATATAACATACACAACTCGGGCTTGTCACAAACTGTGTCCCCTATATTTTTAATGAGCTCTTGTTACTAAAAAAAACTCATGCACGTGCAATAAATGTTTTTCCCTTTTTTTTTTTTAAAGCCAGTTCGGATTCCTTAAAAATGTAAATTAGTTTCAAACTTTAATACTTCACCTTTGTTTCACGTTCATGTGGAGAAAAGACCATTGTTTTATGTGTGTGTACTTGCACCAATCATGTCTCAGATAAACGGCCAACAGTTATCAAAGACATAATTGTCCTAATTGTTTCTAATTTAGCTATTTGGAAGAGAAACATGTCATAAAAGATTTCAAAAAATGTCCCTACATCTTTGTTTTCAACCAATGAACAGTGTTGCGTCTATGTGTTATCAGAAATGATCCAATATCACCTTTAGCCAAAATTCAGAAATGCTTTAAATCATTTTTCAAACTTTAATTGTCCGAACAAACCATTTGTACTAAATGCAGCGTCCATTAAAAGCTGCAGTTCTCTTTCTAGCACCAGTTTCATCTGTGCATGTGATTGTTCTTAAATGAGAAACGAGCCACGGTTCAGAGGTTGAAAACACTGCTTTAAATATCCGTATTACCAAGATCATGCAGTCAAAATCAATAATTCTAAACTTCTCCGCGTCTATAACTTTAAATAATACTAGTTTCAATAATAGAGCTCCTCTACTTTAAATATACTGCTGTTCTAATCTCCTTGTGTCTCATGCTAAAGCAAGAGTCGAATTAATTTTAACGATTGTCCTGTATTCTTTCATGCAGCTAAATGTGGTGTTATGAACGAATGACCTAAATGTGTAAATATGACTTAATATGTCTCTGTGCGTTTGTTGTCTGTCTGTATATTTACCTTCTGTGTGTCTCATTTAGGCCAGCCACGTCTTCCTCAAATGTCCGTTAATGTCTTTCTTTTACTCATGGCGTCTTTCAATGTCTTTGTCTCATAGTGTCCAATGTCTTTGTCTCCATGTCTTTTTTCTTCTTCTTCCAACAATCACTTTCTTTCTTTCTTCCGATAACTCTTTCTCACAATGTCTTTCTTCTTCTTTTCAACGATCACTTTCTTCTTCTTCCGATAACTTTTCCTCATAATGTCTTTCTTCTTCTTTCATATCTGACGCACCCAAATGTGTGTGTCCTTCTTCTTCTTGTTTGGTTTTCCGGCGGTTGGCGGCCTATTCTTCGCATTACCGCCACCTTCTGTTTCGTGGATGGGACAACACTCAGTTTGTGAAAAAGTCTGCGGTCTTTTCTTTGCCTCCTCACAGGCAGGAGAAGTCTTCTTCGAGAGTTCCTGTTAGCTGCTGCAGCCGATGCTGCCCCCTGCGACCCGCAGGGAGAGGGGGAGACGCTGATGATGATGATGATGATGCTCGGTTGTGGTTTGTGGCAGGGACGATTTTTGGCCAAATGAAACAGACAGAAGTTTTCTCGGAAAAAAACAGACAAACAAGAAACACAAACAAGTGTGTTAATTACCATACAAAACCAATGATTAATTATACTATTTTTCCAAAAGTATAATGCTCTCTAAAATCATTCTAACTTTTATATCACCAAAATGTAGGGAAAAAAAACTTGTCTAGACGCCTTGGAGATAAAAAATAAAAATAATGCCTCTTTATAATCTAACTCAAAGTTCTGTGATCCTATGACTCCATGTCAGTAACATTATCGTGTGTATAAATGTAATTTTCTACAAAAAATTCTTTCTTCACGAGAGAGAGAGAGAGAGAGAGAGAGAGAGGGGAGAGAGAGAGGACAGAACGAGGGAGGGGAGGGGCCTCCCGAACAAAGGAAGCATGGAGTCAAATACTTTTCTCGTTTTTCTCGTGACAAGGTTCTAAATCAGTGGTAAAAGTTTTTCTCACGTCAAACGACACTTTACATTTTATCCTTAAATACGTCAGTAATGGAAAACATTACTATTTGCTTACATGAGTAATAGTCCCAGCAGAATCTCTTTTTTTTTTTGATTCTCTGTGACTATTAAACATTACATCAGAATAAGAGAAAAACTTCCATAACTGATCATTTCTTCACATGAAACTCGTATACTACAGCCAAGAGGCTCCTTCTTTTCTCATTAATCAGATCATATTATCAAATCCACATTTTTTAAAATACTTGGCTTTTTCTGTTTAATGTATTGTACCCTTTCCCGCCCCTGGGGGGATATGGAGTTGTTATAACCTATAACTTCTGACCCAACTGTCCCCTATTTTTCTAATCCTATTGATCTAAACACATGTTCCCTTTTGCACCTTAAACGGTGTGCCCTCTTCGCACTTATAATCCTGTGGCTCTTTCCCGTATATTCTTTTTAGAGAGAGACCAGCATCCTCATGGTTTCAAAAAACGTCGATAAACCTGCCTATTGTTCTATCGCGACCGATAGAATCGCCCATCACGGCGGTCTTAGTCCACACTGCCAATCTGTCGAGCCAAAAATCTCCCCCCTCTCTCTTCTATTAAAACAAAGTGCAGATTTTTCACAACTGTAACGATCCGCTTACCTCTTTCGAAGAGAAGAGAGAAGAGAAGAGAGAATTCTCCCGGCCCACGGACCCAGTCTATATTTGAGCTCATCTCTGTCTTTCCCCTGCACCATCACGTCGGGGGTCTCCAAATGAAGTCAATAATTCCCTTGACTGACGTGTTCGAGTTGATGCAGAGGCATGACAACAGATCTCCAAGTTTTAACATCTGTATTTAATTATCTTTACAATCAGATACAGAAATTCCAACAAAGAGGGCTCCTAAAACTATGCATGTCCCTGGCTCGCCCTCGGCTCATTCTCCTGTGTCCTCTCAAGCCAGAGCATTATCAGTCCATGTTCAGGAAGCAGGGGGCGTGTCGTATCAGGCAGGACTTGGGTCCGGCCTCTTCCATCATGTCCCCTCTGTCTGCCGTACCTTAAACAGAATCATTCACACACACTACCACTCCCCAAATTTATTACTTCTTTGAGATAAGGCAGAAGGCTCTCTGGGTCCCCCTCCTTCAGGATTAGCAGAATCCCCCCCCAGATTACCTATCATTAACTCACCCATGCACTTTGGACTAACAAAGGAACATGGGGAAACCAGGTCTTTTTGCTTTAGGAAAAGACAGTTCAAATCAGGGTTAGCCAATATTCACATCTGCATAGTTAAAATATACAACAACCAACACACTCAAGCTGGATGTCTTGCGGCCAATTTATTCGTCTACATTTTAGAGCGCTTTTAACATAGAGTAGAACACCTCCACCCCTCCCATGTTCCCTATCATTCCTGTAGACATTATACTCCGGCATAGTTACCACTGAGTCTGGAAAGTTGGGTGTTAACCAGGTTTCGGAAAGCCCCAGAAAGTCAATGTTCGAGTTGCAGAGCAGATGTTGAAGCTCTTCATGTTTAGGTGCCATACTCCGTATATTCAGGTGTCCACCTAATAAGCCTTTTGGTTTGGCTTGCGGATCCCAGATAATCTTTGCCTGATTAAGTGTGTGAAATATCTTAGAAGTCCGATGTTTTTGGAAAATGGGATTTCTGACCTTTTTTTGTAATGGAGGGTCAGTCACCTGTACCCCAGGTGGAGGAGGCCCGGTTAGCTGTAGCCCGGGTGGTGGAGGCCCGGGTAGCTGTAGCCCAGGTAGTGGAGGCCCAGGTAACTGCAGCCCAGGTGGTGGAGGCCCGGGAAGATGTAGCCCAGGTGGTGGAGGCCCGGGAAGATGTAGCCCAGGTGGTGGAGGCCCGAGTAGTTGGAGCCCAGGTGGTGGAGGCCCGAATAGCTGTAGCCCAGGTGGTGGAGGCCCGAATAGCTGTAGCCCAGGTGGTGGAGGCCCGGGTAGCTGTAGCCCAGGTGGTGGAGGCCCGAATAGCTGTAGCCCAGGTGGTGGAGGCCCGGGTAGCTGTAGCCCAGGTGGTGGAGGCCCGGGTAGCTGTAGCCCAGGTGGTGGAGGCCCGAATAGCTGTAGCCCAGGTGGTGGAGGCCCGAATAGCTGTAGCCCAGGTGGTGGAGGCCCGGGTAGCTGTAGCCCAGGTGGTGGAGGCCCAGGTAGCTGTAGCCCAGGTGGTGGAGGCCCGAATAGCTGTAGCCCAGGTGGTAGAGGCCCAGGTAGCTGCAGCCCAGGTGGTGGAGGCCCAGGTAGCTGTAGCCCAGGTGGTGGAGGCCCGAATAGCTGTAGCCCAGGTGGTGGAGGCCCAGGTAGCTGTAGCCCAGGTGGTGGAGGCCCGAATAGCTGTAGCCCAGGTGGTGGAGGCCCGAATAGCTGTAGCCCAGGTGGTGGAGGCCCGGGTAGCTGTAGCCCAGGTGGTGGAGGCCCAGGTAGCTGTAGCCCAGGTGGTGGAGGCCCGAATAGCTGTAGCCCAGGTGGTAGAGGCCCAGGTAGCTGCAGCCCAGGTGGTGGAGGCCCAGGTAGCTGTAGCCCAGGTGGTGGAGGCCCGAATAGCTGTAGCCCAGGTGGTGGAGGCCCGGGTAGCTGTAGCCCAGGTGGTGGAGGCCCAGGTAGCTGTAGCCCAGGTGGTGGAGGCCCAGGTAGCTGCAGCCCAGGTGGTGGAGGCCCAGGTAGCTGCAGCCCAGGTGGTGGAGGCCTGGTTAGCTGTAGCCCAGGTGGTGGAGGCCCAGGTAGCTGCAGCCCAGGTGGTGGAGGCCCGGGTAGCTGTAGCCCAGGTGGTGGAGGCCCAGGTAGCTGTAGCCCAGGTGGTGGAGGCCCAGGTAGCTGCAGCCCAGGTGGTGGAGGCCCAGGTAGCTGCAGCCCAGGTGGTGGAGGCCTGGTTAGCTGTAGCCCAGGTGGTGGAGGCCCAGGTAGCTGCAGCCCAGGTGGTGGAGGCCCAGGTAGCTGTAGCCCAGGTGGTGGAGGCCTGGTTAGCTGTAGCCCAGGCAACTGAGGTAAGAACCAGGGTAGCTGTGGTTGTAGCCAGATTAGCTCAGTTGTTGGGCCTGCTTGCTGTTGTCCATCTAGGCCTGGACCAGGATTTATTTCAATGTCACCAGCCAAAAGTAGTATAAACACAAGTTCCAAAGCCCCCAGGGATGATCTAGATTTAAATGATTGATCAGTTTTACCTGGGGGCGGCCTGGCATGTCCAAAATTGAGAAATCTTGTAAACAAGAGGTACTGACTCCTCTTTGGTGGGTATAGAGTTGAATTATCCATTTTCCGGGGGCCCATCAAACTCCAGAAAAGGTAACAGCATATAATAATTGCATATACATATGTTGATGGCACAATCCAAGGGAATTTGATGGTTTTAGGTTTTTTTTTTGACAAACACACAGGACCTGCCTGACTGTGTGTTTTCACCCTGGCAGCCATCTTGGCTCCCACTACTGAGGGAGGCTCTGGGGCGCAGCGAAGGACAGAATCATGTCTCAGATAAACTGCCAACAGTTGTATCAAAGACATAATTGTCCTAATTGTTTCTAATTTAGCTATTTGGAAGAGAAACATGTCATAAAAGATTTCATAAAATGTCCCTACATCCTTGTTTTCAACCAATGGACCGTGGTGCGTTAGTGTGCCATCAAAAATGGTCCAATATCACCTTTAGCCAAGATTTAGAAATACTCTATATTATTTTTCAGACCTCTTTTTTTGTCTGAACAAACCACTCAGTGGGCGGCACGGTGGCTGAGTGGATAGCACTCTCGCCTCTCAGCAAGAAGGTCCTGGGTTCAAATCCCGGTTGGACCAGGGCCTTTCTGAGTGGAGTTTGCATGTTCTCCCCGTGTCTGCGTAGGTTTCCTCCGGGTGCTCCGGTTTCCCCTACCACTAAAAATATGTCCAATAGGTATGGCATGTGCCTCCTGTACTGGCCCCACTCCCAAAAAAATAACAATTGTAAACCGCTTTGAGACTCCGATGTGCAGTGAAAAGGCGGTATATAAATAAAAGCTTACTGCTTACTTACTCTTGTACTAAATGCAGCGTCCATTAAAAGCTGCAGTTCTCTTTCTAGCACCAGTTTCAACTGTGCATGTGATTGTTCTTAAATGATTAACGAGCCACGGTTCAGAGGTTGAAAAATTGCCTTCAATATCCGTATTACCAAGATCATGCAGTCAAAATCAATCATTCTAAACTTCTCCGCGTCTATAACTTTAAATAACAATAATAGTTCCAATAATAGCGCTCCTCTACCTTAAATATACTGCTGTTCTAATCTCCTTGTGTCTCATTCTAAAGCAAGAGTCTAATTAATTTTAACGATTGTCCTGTATTCTTTCATGCAGCTAAATGTGGTGTTATGAACGAATGACCTACCTAAATGTGTAAATAGTAAGTAATTTAAGTAATCTTTATTTATATACCGCCTTTTCACTGCACATCAGAGTCTCAAAGCGGTTTACAATTGTTATTTTTGGGAGTGGGGGTGCCAGTACAGGAGGCACATGCCAGAACTATTGTACATATTTTTAGTGGTAGGGAAACCGGAGCACCCGGAGGAAACCTACGCAGACACGGGGAGAACATGCAAACTCCACTCAGAAAGGCCCTGGTCCAACCGGGATTCGAACCCAGGACCTTCTTGCTGAGAGGCGAGAGTGCTATCCACTCAGCCACCGTGCCGCCAAGACATATTAAATATGACTTAATATGTCTCTGTGCGTTGTTTGTCTGTCTGTATATTACCTTCCGTCTGTTTCATTTAGCCCGGCCACGTCCTCCTCAAACGTCCGTTAATGTCTCTTTCTTTTACTTATGGCGTCTTTCAATGTCTTTTGTCTCAAAGTGTCCAATGTCTTTGCCTCAATGCCTTTTTTCTTCCTCTTTAAACAATCACTTTTCTTTCTTCTTCTTCTTTCAATCAATCTTTCTTTTTCCTTCCGATAACTTTTTCTCATAATGTCTTTTCCTTTTCAATCACTTTCTTCTTCTTTCGACAACTTTTCTCATGTCTTTCTTCTTCTTTCCAATCACTTTCTTTCTTCTTCCGACAACTTTTTCTCATGTCTTTCTTTGTCTCATTTTTGACGCACACCAGTGTGTGTCCTTCTTCTTCTCGTTAGGTTTTCCGGCGGTTGGCGGCCTATTTTTTGCATTACCGCCACCTTCTGTTCCGTGGATGGGTCGACACTCAGTTTTGTGAAAAAATCTGCGGTCTTTTCTTTGTCTATGTTGTTAGAAATGGGGCTGGAGGAGTCTTCTTCGAGAGTTCCTGTTAGCTGCTGCAGCCGATGCTGCTGTCTTTGGTGCCCCCTGTGGGTGAAACGGGGGAGACGCTGATGGTCCCTTTTAGTAGACGCTTAGTTGAGGCTTGTGGCGGGGACGATTTTGGCCAATGAAACAGACAGAAGTTTTCTCAGGAAAAACAGACAAACAAGAAACACAAACAAGTGTGTTAATTACCATACAAAACCAATGATTAATTACAAATCAAAATAGACCTATGAAATAATTAATATTAACATTTTAAACATTAAATTCTGAAAACCAATTCTGCATTCAACTGCTATCCTAAGCCCTATTTTTACAAAAGTATAATGCTCTCTAAGATCATTCTAACTTTTATATCACCAAAATGTAGGGAAAAAATGTTTAATAACTTGTCCAGACGCCTTGGAGATAAAAAAAATAAAATAATGCCTCTTTATAATCTAACTCAAAGTTCTGTGATCCTATGACTCCATGTCAGTAACATTGTCGTGTGTATAAATGTAATTTTCTACAAAAAAAATTCTTTCTTCACGAGAGAGAGAGAAAGACAGAAAGAGAGAGAGAGAGAGAACGAGGAAGGGGAGGGGCCTCCCGAACAAAGGAAAACATGGACGTCCGAAATACATCCTCCTGTTAGCTACATTTTCCTCGTTTTTATCGTGACAAGGTTTTAATCAGTGGTAAAAGTTTTTCTCACGTCAAACGACACTTTACATTTTATCCTTAAATACGTCAGTAATGGAAAACATTACAATTTGCTACATGATTAATGTATCGAGGGTTCCAGCAGAATCTTTTTTTTTTCTGATTCTCTGTAACTATCGAAACATTACATCACAATACAAGAGAAAAACTCCCAGACTGATCTTTTGTCATTTCTTCACATGAAACTCGTATACTACAGCCAAGTGGCTCTCTTTTTTCTCATTAATCAGATCGTTAGTATCAGAATCCACATTTTAAATACTTGGCTTTTTTCTGTTTAAATTAATTGTACCCTTTTTCCCGCCCCCGGGGGATATAGAAGGTTTTATTATCCTATCACTTCTGACCCTAAATCTGTCCCTATTTCTCTAATTCTATTCCTATTTTTTCACTAATACGCTTGTGCCTCTCTGCACTTTAAGAAGGTGTGCCTCTTTTGCACTTCTAAACCCTGTGGCTCTTTTCATCATCTATGTTCTGTTTTTTTAAGGAGGGACCCATGCTTCCCCCAAGGCTAAAAACGTCTAAACCTGACTATTGTTCTATCGCGTCCGATAGAACACCCATCACGGCGGTCTGGCCACGCTGCAGTCCGTCGAGCCAAATTCTCTCTCTCTCTTCCATTTAAAACAATGTGCAGATTTTCAAAAGTAACGATCCGCTTACCTCTTTTGAAGAGAAGAGAGAATTTTCCCGGCCCACGGACCCAGTCTATATCTGAGCTCATCTCTGTCTTGCTCCTGCACCGATCACGTCGGGATTCACCAAATTAAGTCAATAATTCCCTTTGACTGACGTGTTCAAAGTTGATGCAAGAGTAAGACAAGAGATCTCCAAGTTTAACATCTGTATTTAATTTATCTTTACAATCAGATACAGAAATTCCAACAAAGAGTGCTCCTAAAACTATATATGTCCCTCTCTCTGGCCCTCGGCTGATCCCTCTGTGTCTCCCCAAGCCAGAGCATATAAAAAGAACAGGAAGGAGGGGAGTGTCCTATCAGCCAGCTTCCGGTCTAGGGTCCAGCCTTTTCCTCCGTCTGCCAGACTCCTGATGGAGTGAGGTTGAAAAGTGCAGAAGTCAGCAGGCCAAGACTAGGGGGGTGAAATCCAAACAGCAGAATCCATCTGTTGTCCAGTTGCTGGCACAAGAAGACACCTAAAATAAAATAAGAAGGACTGGCCTCCCACTTAGAGGTCGTTAGGTCATAAAACACATGGTTTTAGAATGTCACGTATTTATAAATACAACATGTACCTGTGGGCTGTATGAGGTAGATTAGAAACACAGGTACATGATATAAAAAGCATAGGGCTGTAGGTATCTCAGAAACACAGGTTTTAGAGAGCACAGGGCTGTAGGTATCTTTGAAACACAGGTACATGATTTAGAGAGCACAGGGCTGTAGGTATCTTAGAAACACAGGTACATGATTTAGAGAGCACAGGGCTGTAGGTATCTTAGAAACACAGGTACATGATTTAGAGAGCACAGGGCTGTAGGTATCTTTGAAACACAGGTACATGATTTAGAGAGCACAGGGCTGTAGGTATCTTAGAAACACAGGTACATGATTTAGAGAGCACAGGGCTGTAGGTATCTTTGAAACACAGGTACATGATTTAGAGAGCACAGGGCTGTAGGTATCTTAGAAACACAGGTACATGATTTAGAGAGCACAGGGCTGTAGGTATCTTAGAAACACAGGTACATGATTTAGAGAGCACAGGGCTGTAGGTATCTTAGAAACACAGGTACATGATTTAGAGAGCACAGGGCTGTAGGTATCTTAGAAACACAGGTACATGATTTAGAGAGCACAGGGCTGTAGGTATCTTAGAAACACAGGTACATGATTTAGAGAGCACAGGGCTGTAGGTATCTTAGAAACACAGGTACATGATTTAGAGAGCACAGGGCTGTAGGTATCTTAGAAACACAGGTACATGATTTAGAGAGCACAGGGCTGTAGGTATCTTAGAAACACAGGTACATGATTTAGAGAGCACAGGGCTGTAGGTATCTTAGAAACACAGGTACATGATTTAGAGAGCACAGGGCTGTAGGTATCTTAGAAACACAGGTACATGATTTAGAGAGCACAGGGCTGTAGGTATCTTAGAAACACAGGTACATGATT